TGTGTCTGTGTCATACATTGTTTATCCATTTACCTGTTGGTTCTCCCTTTGTCTTAATAAAAAGGAAAGGTTTTAACTCTAACTCTAAAAAGTTAAAGGTTTTAACTATATACAATAAGAACAATTATCAGCAGGGCGTTGGTGGCACACGCCTTTAGTCCCAGCACTTGGGAGGCAGAGGCAGGCGGATCTCTGTGAGTTCGAGGCCAGCCTGGGCTACAGAGCGAGTTCCAGGACAGCCTCCAAAACAATACAGAGAAACCCTGTCTCGAAAAAAAAAAAAAACAACAACCCCCCCTCAAAAAAGAACAATTATTAAGTATTAATTACATTTATAATATCCAGTCCATTTGTATTTGGCAAATTCTAAGAAAATACTGTATTATCTATCTTATCTGGTGCGTTCAAAGTTTTGTTCCTAATTTACTTTGTATCATAGCTTGTATTACCAAAATAAAAATATCTTTTTTTTGACCTTAAAACATTTTCTTAGATAAACAACTTAAGCTTTGATGTCTCTTAACTTTATACACTTCCCATTTCTTTTATACTTTTGTTTTGAATTTGGCAACAAAGAAAATTGTAACTATAACTATCTTCAATTCTATCAGAGATCTGAGGATACAAATATTACTTGAGTAAACAGGAAGTACACAGCAAACAACTTCCAAAACTAAGAAATGACAGAGATATCTGGCTACAGGACAGTCACCCAAGGTTCCTCTGTAACACTGGGGCATTCATCTCTGGTATACAGGCCTAGAATATCTGACAGACCTTTCTGTGAAGCAGGAATTAAAAATATACTTTTATTTATTTTTTAAGATTTATTTCTTTTTATTTGCATTGGTGTTTTGCCTGCATGTATATCTGTGTGAGGGTGCCAGATCCCCTAGAACTTGAGTTACAGACAGTTATGAGCTGCCATGTAGGTACTGGGAATTGAACCCAGGTTCTCTGGAAAAGCAGCCAGTGCTCTTAACTGCTAAGCCAGTCAGGTGTTGGTGGCGCATGCCTTTAGTCCCAGCACTTGGGAGGCAGAGGCAGGCAGATCTCTGTGAGTTCAAGGCCAGCCTGGTCTACAGAATGAGTTCCAGGACAACCTCCAAAACAAGACAGAGAAACCCTGTCTCAATAAAAGCAAAAACAAAACCAGAACAACCCGCTAAGCCATCTCTCCAGCCCTGAAGCAGGAATTTTTGGAGGACTGCCTTGGCACAGTTTGGCAGTCACTTTCTTTTGTGTCCTGTTTGTTTGGACAAAAGACTGTTAGCAATCAAGACAAGGGCAGTTTCTTGCCCAGTGACTAACTTTTGCTACAACAAAAGCAAACTTCATACGCAGGTTCTTTGATGTCCATCATCATCTCTGAAGTAGATTGGTATTGCCAGGAGCAGACGTGCCTCATATTCATGAAAAGCCTTATGGTATTAAAATATCTTACATTTCATATTCTGTTACTCTCTGAAGTGTTTGAAGATCACTGTTTGTCTATCTAAAATATATGTTTGACCTTGAAACATGCCTACATGAATACAAGTTTGATCATTACAGGTGACTATTAACCTGCATTTCTTCATAATCCTAAATAGCTAATAATAATAACTTTCAAGGACTAGAAATTTACATTACAAGATCCACCTGTCTCTGTCTCTCAAGTGTTGGGGTTATACATATATATGTATGTATGTATATATATTTGTATAAGTATATATTCAATAATCTACCATTTATCCTATCATTTCTATACCCCCTTTTCTTTTCAGAACGATATCTCTGAATTAAATTCCTTTGTTCAACTTTTTTACTGACCACTACCAATAATAATTTGTAACCAACTCCCCAAATGATGGCAAACCCACCGAAAGACCAAAAACCACCCCAGAACCTCCTGGGAATGTGGGCATTGTGGTCTTTAGACTGCATTCTGTTGTCTGGGGATGTAGCACAAAAAATAAAATCCCAGAGACAGATATTGGGGTTTAAGTTTCAAGCTGAAGATCAAAAAAAAAAACAAAGCAGCCAAGCCAATAGATTTTACCTCTACCTCAGACTGAAAGGGCTGATCCTGTTCCCACAGACTGAAAGGGCTGATCCTGTCTCCACAAGCTCTCACCAAATCTCAGACTGCTGCCTCTCCTCAGCGTGACTGGAGAATGAATGCCAGCTATGAGACCCTGTTCCTTTCTTAAATACCTCTCATGAGTAATAGGATTAAAGGTGTGAGCTCTGTTACTCATTTAGACCGATTCAATCTGGGGTAGCCCTGACTAGCCTGGAACTCAGAGCTATCCATCTGCCTTTGTCTCCTGAGCCCTGGGATTAAAAGTATGTGCCACCACCACTGGTTTCTATGGCTGACTAGTATGGCTGCTTGGCTGCTTTGAGCTCTAGTGGCTTTAATAAATCATAAACAATATATCACTACATGGAGACATTGGCAACTTTGGGGGACACAGAAAATTGGGATGCAGGAGAAATAGCCACATCATTTATTTTCCAGTCTGTGTAATGGAAAAATGCAATGGTTATCTGAAGCCCTGGCTGGAGTAGTCTGTGACATCGGATCATTTCAGGCAGCAGCCTTCAAGGTGTTCTGGATACAGGGCTCTGAAGAAACTGCAACAGAGGCACTCTGAGATGCTGTGTCACCTGGGCTAGGGTTGCTACCTATGGTTAGTGGTAGCAATTAACCCTATCCCTCGCTGGGTGACACCTGGCCTAGCTCTGGCGAACTAGTACCTAGCCTAATCCATCCTCTGTTGACCTGATACCTTTTGTTCCCCTATGTGAACTTTGTTTGGGACTTTCCCAAGCATAGAGAGGCCCTTGCAAAACTCGGTTCAGGAAACCCGGAAAACTGTAGCACCTGATGGAGACTTTGCACTTGGCATTGTACTTTTTGCGAGCCTCATTCAAGTTGTTCTGAGTGTGTGGTAATCAACTGGCTGAAGCGTAAATACAGAGAAAAATAAAAATGCCCTAGGTGTAGGGAAAGTGCTTCAGTTCTCAAGGCTAGGGATGCCTGCAGCCACAAAAAGGCTAAGTTTTCTTTTGAGGGACCTGTATGAACCCACACCCACCCTGGTGTCTGGTCCCCTTGCTCTGAAAACACATAAACTTTCAAAGGTGACATACATATCTGCATTAACACTAGTATGGAATATGTGGTGTACACAAGCCAATTAAAGATGACTTTTTCTCTATGTCTGAGCAGGTAAAAGGCATCTGTCAACTTTATAAGTTCGATTGGACTGCAAAATCAAACTCTAATATAAATCTCTATCTATGCCATATGAAAGGATTCTGTAGTCAGCAAGACTTATAATGTCTCATCTCATCTCTGAGCTGTTCCCATGCAGAGGGATCCACTTACATGTCACCTGTCCTGTTGTCTTTCTTGGCTTCCTCCCCCATGTCTACAGCCAAGATACTTAGGAGGTCTCCCACAGTCAAATCTGATATCTATTAACATGGGAGGAATCCACAGTCTTATGGAAACAAAATCATAACCTCTTCCCCAACATAATACATTTTTTACTTCCTTTTTTTATTTTTAGAGACAGGGTTTCTCTGTCTCTAGTTGGAACTAGCTCTTGTAGACCAAGCTGGTCTCGAATTCACAGAGATCTGCCTGCCTCTGCCTCCCGAGTGCTGGGACTAAAGGTGTGCTCCATCAACGCCCATCTTGACTTCCATTTTAAAGTTAAAGCATTCCCAAAGTATAAAGGTTGGTTTGATTCAGCAGTCCCTTGCATAATCCAGTGTCTCTCAGCAGCTATTGTCTGTTCATTACATTCAAAAAATTCAAAATTCACAAAGTACCATATAAGTCCAAACTCTCCGTGTTATAATATTTCCCATCCTTATGTGGCTTATTTTTTGTATTACCTTACTTCTTTTTCTTTTTTATGATTGTCTATATCCTTTTTCTTTTCTTTCTTAAGCTTATGCACATTGTTAAACACACTGTATCCTGTTTAGAGATTTTTTCCATCAGAACCTGCTTTACTATGTATCTGGAACCTTTTTTGTCTGCATGAGCAAAATCTTAAACCACTGGGCAGCTTAGCTCGCAGCTGGAGATGCATCTCTGTACTGCAGTCTGCACAAGAGACCGCAGGACTAGGAAGCTGCATTTGGCTCTGTTTTTGTGTGTTTGGAACCCTGTTTAAAAAGCCTTCACAGGTCTTATGTAGAAATACGCGGCCCCACATATGGTGACATTTGTAGTCAGTATTTTTTTTTGTCAGCACCCCAATAATGACATGTAGATTTATCATGAAACCAGCTGATAGCTTGACTTGTTTTTAACTAGCTCTTATAACTTAAATTGACCTATATCTTTTAATCTATGCTCTTTCATGTGGTTCAGTTACCTTTACTGTATTGCCCATGCTACTTCTTTCAAAGTCTCCTGGTACCTCTGCCCTTCTCCCCAATGTCCTCTGTGCCTGGAAATCCTGCCTAGCTATTGGCATTCAGCTTTTTATTAAACCAGTCAGAGTGACACATTTTCACAATGTACAAAGAAACTATTCCACAACAGTTGGTGGATAGTGCGTGTCTCTATGGTTGGATATTGTGAAAAATACTGCTATGAACTCAAGTATACAAATATCTGTCATTTCCCCACTTTGGAATTTTGTAGTATATAAGTAGGAATGGAATTGATAGGTCATGTGATGGTCATTGTTTAACTTTAAAAAACTTGTAGATAGCTTTCCCATTACTAGTTCCGTTATACTTTTATCAGCAAAGCATAAGAGTTCCAATTTCTCCCCACCTTTGCCAATATGTTCTTTTTTCTCCTGCTACTAGGATAGAACCCCAGCTTTGTGCATGCTAAGCAGTATTCCCTACCTCTGAGTTTTATCCCTAAATGTTTATTTTATTTGCTTTTTTTTTTTGAGACAGTGTCTCTTTCTTAGCCCAGGCTGCATTGGAACTCACTATTAAGCCCACAGTGGACTTGAACTCGTAATGTGTGCTTTACTTACATAAGTCTGTGCTTCATTTGCATGTTTGGTGCCGTCAGAAGTCAGATCAGGGTGTTGGATCCCCTGGGATAGAGTTACAGAGGGTTGTGAGCTGCCATGTGGGTGTTGGGAACCAGCCCCAGGTCCTTTGCAAGCACAACCAGTGTTGTTAACCACTGAGGCATTTCTCTAGCCCACAGATTCGAACTCTGGCAAGCCTTCTGCCTCAGCCTCTCAGGTGCTAGAATTACAAATATGTGCCTCCACATCCACCCTGTATTTTTGTTTGTTTGCCCAATTATGGGACCATGGCTTACTAAGTTGCTCAGGCTTATTTCCAAGGGATAGGCAGGGCTGCCTTCACTAACTGAGGCCTGCAGAACCCTCCTTGGCATGTCATGTTGTGAGGGTGGGCCAGTGAATCTTTCCTCCCCTCCTCCACTTCTTTTGGTTTTTCGAGACAGGGTCTTTCTGCGTAGCCTTGGCTGTCCTGGAACTCGCTTGTAGACCAGGCTGGCCTTGAACTCACAGAGATCTGCCTGCCTCTGCCACTCGAGTCTTGGGACTAAAGGTGTACGCTGCCACCGCCCAGCCAAATTGAGCTTTTCCAAATTTTACTACCAAATTGGTCTCTAAATCTTGCTCCTCCCAGACAATTCTGCCTCCAATCCTTCCAGCCCTGAAGCTCTGGACCTTGAACCCAGGCCCTCGCAGAAGCTAAGCAAGATCCTTACCACTGAGCCATTCCCACCCCCGGCCTGCATTGGTAATTTTTATGTCATCAAACCTGTTCATTTGTTCTTTCCAGGGCGTAAGTCCTTTTTCCCTCTCCCTTTGGCTAATGTGCTTGGTTGAACCCTCATAAACCCCACTCAACTGTCACCATCTGGCGACATTGGGGCTCTTTCAGGCAGTCTCTTCTGTTAGACTGCTTGTGCCTGGTGACTGCCTGTCCTTGTACGGCCCGGGAGGCAGGGTCTCCCCCTCCCTGCTTCCGTGGCGGCGAAAACCATCCTCAGCATCTGACACTGGTCCAGGCGCTGCGACGTTAAGGAACGCGACCCCGAGGCCCCGCCCCGGACGCGCCCACAGGCGTCAGGGAGGCTGCTTACCCCGGGCACAGAAACAAGCTCCTTCGAGGTAGAAATTTTTGGCCAGGCAGCAGCATCTGTCTCGAGGCTCCCAGATCGCCCCCCACGGACGCACTTGGTACCGCCTGGGGCTTCCCCGCCGCTGCCGCCCTGACGTCGAGGAGTCCCCGGGAGGCCCCGCCCCGCCCGCTCGGGCGCGAGCTGTGCGCGATCTCCGGGGACCGGGCGGCCATGGCGGGACCCGGCTCCCCTGGCGGTCCCTGCGCGCCCGCCGCCGTCTGGAAGCGCCACATCGTGCGGCAGCTGCGGCATCGGGACCGCACGCAGAAGGCGCTCTTCCTGGAGCTAGTGCCGGCTTGTGAGTGCGCCGCGGGGGGCTCAGGGAGAGGAGATGGGGCTCCCCGCCTGGAGAGAGCGCTTGTCCCGCCGCTCGGCTCGCGACTCGAGGGCTGCGGCGCTGTCTCCATTTCCCGGCCTTGCACCGGGAACCTGTTTACGCCCCTCTTCGTACTGACCAGGGTCCCTGCCTGCCGTTTCCAGACCAGGCGCTGCTTAGCCCTCAAGACTCAGCCCTGCCACCCTTGAGCATCCTGTCTCTCTGTGCTGGTTTTGGGCCTTTCAGGCGGTCCCCAGGGCAGGGCCCGGTCAGTCCGTTTTGTCCCCAAAGTTCAGGCAAGGAAGGCAGGCGTGGCTAGAGCAGCCATAGTGGCCGAAAGGAAGGAGCGAAACCCTGGTAGATTTTGTTACTGATTCCCGGAACAGGTGCCTGTCGGATCATAACCCGAAGGGGACCTGGACTTCTCTTGGGTGCTTGTTGAAACAGCGGAAGTCAAACCCTCATACAGTTATTTCTGGCCAGTTGGGTCAGGGGGGGTGTGGCAGTTCAAGCCGAGATACACTGGTGTGCGTCTGTATTTACTGCCTCTGATCAACTCTGACTGTATGTTTGGGCCTAAAGTCTGACCACAGGCCCTACAGCTTCTGCACTGGGTGCTAATTTTGATGCACCCACGCAATCAAACTTGTTTTCCCCTGGAATTTTCCAGGGGTTGGCCTTTTCTTGGGGTTGTATACTTTCAGGCAACCTCAGTTCTCCAACTGCTCTGATGGGCAGTGGGACTATTTGAGGGAGGACCATCTCTAAGACTTCCATGGGGAGCTGCAAATTTGGGGAACTCGAGCGACCCAGGTCTGTGGTATGGGTAATTTAAGTCCTTAACCTCAGATTTCTTCCTGGTAAATGAGGCCTATTGTGACCTTGTATGCTGGGGAGGGGGTGCAGGGCTGTGCCTTTCACAGCTTTGGGGTCTGGGGTAGAGTTCTGAGAATTAGACCAGGCCCAGGAACCTCAGTCTGGTGACTGAGGGAAGGGAGATGGGGGATCCTGGCCTGAATTTATCAACCCAGTCTGCCCTGGAACTGTTAAAAAAAAAAAAGCGGAAGTGACTGGAAAGGGTTGTGTCCAAGGGGGTGGTGGTGGTGCCCATGGCCAAACCACCTAACCTGTGAAGATTTGTTAGATAATTGCTCAAGAACTTTCAGTATTGCCCTGGGGGAAGCTACTGGGCGGAGGTGAGAATTACTTCATTATAAACAGAGAGGCCTTGGAGGGTTAGTGACTCCCTGCAGGCAACAGGTAGGTGTTTGGTTTGTTTGTTTGTTTGCTTCTGCTTGCTCTGGATTCAGACTTTGCCTCTGGCAGAGATGAATTAATCTCCTTGCTTTCCTTCTGTCCTTTATCAAGTGTGACCTAGGCTTCTCTGTCCCCAGTGGTAGTGGTCTGTCTATACTTGGGAGAGTAGATGGTCCCCTAGGTGGGCCTGTGTGCCAAGGCTATGATGAGGCTTCACCATGCAGATACCCCCGGGAAGGGACAGAGCCCAGCCCAGGAGCTTCCCTATTCCCAAGATCCCTGGGTGTCTGCAGCCACCACCCCAGCCTGAGGTAACTTGGATGCCAGGGGTCTGCAGGCAAGTGTCTACCTCTGCCCCTTTGCCTCCCCAGATAACCACCTCCTAGAGAAGGCTGAACTGCTGGCCAAGTTCTCAGAAAAGTTGAAGTTAGAGCCAGAGGATGTCGCCTGCACTCAGAATCAGGACTCCTGGTGAGTCTGTGTGTGAGTGCTCACAGCAGCTGCTAATGCCCGCCCCTTTGCTGTGCTCTTTGCTTTTGCAATGCTCAGCCCTGGTGCCTCATCAGGCTACGACTGGGGATGGGAGAGGGGATAGTAAACAGCCCCTGAGTCCTCTCTAAGCCGGCTGCCTGAAAAATCCTTTTCCCGACTCTCCTCTCTCTGCATTTGCCTCCTGTCCAATCCCGGAATCCTGTTTCTCCCTTCTGTGTCTTCTCCCTCCCCGTTCCTCACCAAAGGCTACAGAAAGAAGAGGAGGTGAACACTAGAGCAGGGGATAGGTTGGAGACAGTGATAGAGGATGTAGCCTAGGCAGGCGGAAAGTGACCCTGAACCCCTGATCCCTGCCTCTGCTCTCAGGGGTCGGGATTACAGGTGTGTGCCACCATACCACGTCTGGTTCTCTTTTGTGTGTATATGTGCAATTTGTATGTACATCTGGGGCCCGTGTGTCTTCCTTAATTATGTTTCACCTTGTTTTTTGAGACATGGTCTTGTACTAAAACTACAGTGGACTGATTCAACTTCCTTAGCTCTGGCAAAGAGTGCCAGGTTTTTTATTTTTGTTTTTCGAGACAGGGGTTCTCTGTATTGTTTTGGAGGCTGTCCTGGAACTCACTCTGTAGACTAGGCTGGCCTCGAACTCACAGAGATCTGTCTGTTTCTGCCTTCCCAGTGCTGGGATTAAAGGTGTGTACCACCACCGCCCAGCTGTGTCTCAGGCCTATTTAATGTGGACCCTGGGGCCCAAACTGTGGCAAGAGTGTACCAAGTGAGCCATCTTTCCAACCCTGAACTTGTTTTTTAGGGTCTTGTTATGTATGTAGCTCAGGCTGGTCTTGATCTCAGAGTACTGTTTTAGCCTCCTGAGCTCTGGGGAAGCAAGTGTGTGTCATTGTGCTGGCAGGCACCCAAGGTCTGGACCATCCTAGAACAGAGGGGTCATGGACAACCTATTTCTGAGGCCTTGGTCTCTGATCGGCTTCCACCTTCCCCAAGAGTAAGCTAATGGCTCCACAAGCTTTTTATGGGGGCACCCTTAGGGCATACTTTTGTCACTGGGGTGAGAGGAGGGACCATGAATTGTTCTTATTGCCAGGGGGGAGTTCTCCGAGCCTGTCTCTGACCAGGTTTCATCACCAGCCTCTCTGAGGGCAAAGTGGCAGGAGGAGGAGAAGGGACTGCAGTTGGTCTGCGGTGAGGTAAGCAGAGCGGGTGTGAGAATGTTGGGTAGGGAGAGATGGTCCACAGAAGCCAGCTAGTCCGTGAGTGGCCCCATAGTAGCTGCCTTACCTCGGTCAATGCGCCACAACTTTATATCTGCAGAGGAGTATAATGGGGCTGAGCTGTGGACCCTGGACTTGAACCTTTACCCACACAAGCTGACTGTGATTCTTCATTCTTTCTTTCAACAACTATTTATTGACAATTCAAGGAACAGGGAGTGTGGCCATAAACAAGACCGGGCCCTGTGGGTTTCCAAGGAGACTGATGAGACAGTAATCACCTGTCATTAGAGCATGCCTCCTCACCTGCCCAACACAAGGTGGGAGTGGGTTAGGAAGACATTTGAGAGCCTCTCCCCAGAGTGCTATGTGGTTGTAATTTGACAGTGGCGTGACATTCTCACGTGGAGATTTGTGAAACAATCAGTATGTCACAGGGTTCCTTTACAAGATCTCTTTCTTGCTACCACCTTTTCAGTAACACCTGAACATCTCTGACTCCTGGCTACCACTAATCTGTTTCTACCTCTGTCTGCCATTTGAACTTTGAAAGTCATAGGTGAGGGAAGCGGAGGTAGGAATTGGCCTTCTCAGTGTTGAAAATGATAGATGAGCTGGGGTGCTGGAGGTGGTGGCGCACACCTTTAATCCCAGCACTTGGGAAGCAGAGGCAGGCGGATCTCTGTGAGTTCGAGGACAGGCTCCAAAGCTACAGAGAAACCTTGCTTCAAAAAACAAAACAAACAAAAACAGATAGATGTTATAATTGGCTTATGATGGAATGGGTGCTCCACCCTGACTGTAGGGTCCCTCTCCAGGCCTCGAACATGGGGAATTATGTCAAGGTAGGTGAGCAGCCCTGACTTGTTCCTCAGGCTCCAGGAAGAAAGCATTAGGAACAAGCTAATAAGAAGAGCCCCTGGCCGCTGTCATTTCCTGAGACATTGGTGTTCATGTCATACCGATGGACACAGCTTTACCCTGGGATCGTTTTCCCTGGGATTTCAGCACCAAAGAGGAGGATGGGGCTGGACCCCTGTAGTTCTTAGCTCTCAGCTGAAGGGATGCTGAGACACTCTCATCCCACAGTGCCAGGATTGAGAATGAACAATGTGTTTCTCTATAGCTTTGTATCCTGTCCTGGACTGCCCTGGAACTTGCTCTGTACACCAGGCTGGTCTTGAACTCACAGAGATCCACCTGTCTCTGTCGCCCCAGTGCTGGGATTAAAGGCGTGTGTCACCACTGCCTGGTCCTAGTCTGTTCTGTTCGTAGGCTTCTGTGCTTCTCTTCTCTGAGGGCTGTCAGGGTAGGCCAGTGGTGGGGGATGGGCTAGGAAGCCAGCTGTTGGGAGATGGGAAATAGAACGCCACCCCTTGGGGCCCTGAGTACACTAGTACTTTATATGGAGTGTAATGTAGTTAGGGGCCTGGGTTCAAGTTGTGTAACTTTGGATGAGTCACTTAACCTGTCAGCACCCTCGTCTGTAATATGAAAATGGTAGTGCTTCACTTTGGTGTTATGGAGATGGAAAGTTAGCTTGGGAAAAGGCATGACACAAGTGCAAGCTAATAGTCTGTCATTACTTTACGTTCCTGATAGTAGTTCTGGGTTACCTTGTGGTTAGGAAAGCACTCCCCTG